CCTAAATTGGTCGAAACATATGTGGTAATACTGAACATCTTTTAAGGCTTTTTGTATGTAAAACTTAAGTGAGTTAACTTTATGAGAGTTCAAAATGTTTATGTACTTTAACGTTGCAGATCAAAGTCGTCACACTGAACGTTGGAATCGTGAAGGGCCATCTGCTGCATCATTAACAGGTTAATTAGGATACTTGTTAATTTTTTAGGGAAAATCCACAACCCCCAAAACTTCTTGTTTAGCTATTATCTTATGTGTTTGTTGTCCTTTTACTAAACATTTTTCTTATCTGAATGTCTTTTATAATGTTTAAATCTCCTGTACATTTGTGTTCTAGTTTTACATTAATGAATTCTGCATATCTATAATATATACAATTACTGTTAAAAATATTCCCTTTTAGTTTTATTAATGCTCTTAAGAAATCTAATACAAGCACAAAGTTGATGCCTTATTCGTATGATACCCATCCTAATTCTTCTCTTCTACTAGACGATGTACTTATTATTTCTTTAATATTTTCATTACACATAGTGCTGAACTTAAGTTCGACAGCGATGCCTTTTATGTAAGGCACTGATATATCTTTTTGAAGTTTTAATATTCTTATCTTGTTCATTCCAAAATGGTTTAGCAATAACGGATTCAAGAAGTTCGAAGCTGAATTTAAAATGTACCAAAAGTTAGATCTATGAGCCTATCAATATCATACTTATTCAATGTTATGATTTATATAATCTATTACTGTATAGCTCATTTATTTTAGTAACAATTTCTTCCTTCCTATCTTCACGCTTATTTTTCTTGCAAGATCTCCTTCCTACCTCCATGTCTTTCTTCTTCTCCAATGAACTAATGAAATCTGAAATATTTCCAAAGCTTTAAGGTCATTGAATCCAAAAGGATGTGCTGTAACCATGTATTTAATCTACTGTATTTCCTCATCTCTTAAATTTTCTCCAACATTATCATTCCCTTCCACATGATCCAAGACGTTTCCTCCGGATACTATATATTCTATATTCTACTATCTATTCTATATTCTATATTATTCTATATGTTCTTCTTCTTGTAGACCATTAGAGCACTAATGAGGAAGTGTTATCGAATTTTGTTGGAATTCCGACGGTTCTGTTTTGTTTGTATTAGAATAAGGGTTTCGAAGGAAGATGAGATGAAAAAGATTGGAATTTCATCTCTCGAGACACACCATCCATACAAATTTCCACTGATTTCGCTATTTTTCAATGTATGTAGCGAATGTGGGCTCCGAGTTCTAGAAATCAGACAATCTCCGGTATACCACCTTGCTTACTGAAAAAATGCCTTTGAAAAAGCTTTGGTGATACCAAACTTCACTTTTCCTATTCCTAACAAATCTACATTTTCTAGTTAGTCGTTGCAGGAGGATGTTG